GGAACGAAACGGAACCAGAGATGACCATACTGGGAAAGCGCGACAACTCTCTTTACCTTTAGACTGCACATGAACGACATTTTTTTCATAATAATCTATTGACAGTAAACTTTGAAGGCAAAGCATTAATAATTTTTTACTATTTTACATCAGTGATAGGTGTACGTCTCTCATTAAACACAGTTCACATAGTCACTACAGAAATTACTAGTAGTATTCAGCGGAACTAAACAAATCTCAGCAAAACTAAAACACAATGGAATAAATATATGAAGAAATAAGTTGTTACGTGAATGTCGTATATTTTCCTTTAATTAAAAATGACTTGTTCTCTCAGTTAAACTTATTTTGGAATATTCTGATTTACCCAGGATTCATGAAAGCTAAAAAAATTGGTTGATGTCATGAATACTACGGCAGCTTTAGGTTGTTTTTGGTTAGTTCTTGTTTTTTTTCTCTTCAAATAAAAAGATGTGGTTCCGTTTTGTTCCGCAAAGTACCGATATCCGTGTGGATATTGGTAATTTGCGGAACGGAACGGAAAAAGATTTGATCATTTTGAAATACTTTTCTTGCCTCTTCTTTTCAAATATAAATGGTGTTTAACTTACAGAAAATGAAAAGTTAACAAAACTTTTTGTTTAATTGTATTTTTTTTTTTTTAAAAAGAAGAAGAATTTTTAGGACTGTCGTCAAAATAATTTCCAAGGCCGTAACTAAGCTGAAATATTTAGTGAGGCAAGAGTGCTGGGCATTCCTAGTCTCAAACGGGGCAAGGGTATTAATTGATGGCCAGTGATGCAGTTTTCCAGTTGAGGGGGGGGGGGGAGGTCCTGAAACCTGGACATTAGAAAATAAAAGATTTAATCTTATAAAAAATTTACGTTTTGAGTTGTCTCCTGCATGACACAGTAATCAGAGCGTATACTCTAGAATTGCAGACTTATGAGTTGAACCCTACATCGCGGATTCGAATCCCACATGCGGGTTGTCGAGACCGGTCCTTCCGATGAGACAGCAAAAACCCAGGTCCTATGTCACAGTAAGTGATGGCACAGAAAGATCTCTCACTGTTCAATCATCTTCAGTGACCTTAAAGCCCAGTAGAGTCATTTAAAACTAGGAGCCCTCCACCGGCAAATAGTGGTGTCTCATTATGAATGAGAAATTCTTGGAAGGGACGTTAAACAATCAAACAATTTACAAAACGAACATTTTGAATTATATTTTACATGCGTTCTACATGAAAATGAGGCACCTGTGAGATGAACGATTTACAGAAATTGAAACAAAAGTTTAAAATATTAATATAGCATAAAGACACATATAATTCGTATGTTCAATGTTAAACTTTTTTTCACTTTTCAGAAAACTCTAAAAATTTTGTGAGGCATTTGCCTCACTTGCCTCAATGGTAGTTACGGCCTTGATTTCAATGCTGAGCATGATTTTCAATTCAATTCCTTACAGGACACAAAACTTAGCTCATGTCGTTCATTAACAGAGTTTTAAAACCTTTGATATAATAGTTCCGTTCCGTTTCGCAAAGTACTAATATTGTATTGGATAATGGTATTTTGCGAAACGGAACGGAACTTGTTGTGTGTGTTTCTTTTCTTATTAGTGCAGAACTGAATATCTAAGATATCGATCAAGGTTCAGGTAGTAAACATATTTGTTAGCATACAGCAAATTGCAAATCACGCGTTTTAAGATCTACCTTAAGTTTACATAATAATAAAGTTAAACTTATTTTGCATATCGATTTAGTTGAAGACAGAGAGATGGTATTTACGTTTTCCTATCAACATCAAGGCCTGCGATTGTATAAAGACAAGACTTTTGGAGAAGCTTGAAAGGTTAAAAAAAAATGCTTTATTATGCTGGATATATGATGGATGATATACTTTCCTCTTCAAACATCCTTGTCTCTTATATTTCTTTCCCCCTGAAATTTTGATTATTAAAAAGATGAGATGAAATGAAATACAACAAAATGTTTGTATGTGTATCATCTTATTCCAACTTAACTGTGTTTCGTTCCGTTTCGCTAAATACTAATACCCACACGGATATTGGTATTTAGCGGAACGAAACGGAACCAGAGATGACCATACTGGGAAAGCGCGACAACTCTCTTTACCTTTAGACTGCACATGAACGACATTTTTTTTCATAATAATCTATTGACAGTAAACTTTGAAGGCAAAGCATTAATATTTTTTTTACATCATTGATAGGTATACGTCTGTCATTCAAAACAGTTCACATAGTTACTACACATGACACAGCAGATCAAAAATTAACGGCAGAATAATTCATAACTTATAGACATTTTATTTTTTGGTCCTTTACTTCAGACACTTGACACTTTCTTTGGTTGGTTTCCTAAGATATAAAATGGCAGAATAATTTGTAATAAATTACCTAATTATATTCATTTTTATTATATAATATATTCATATTTATTCCCCCTAGGGTGCCCCACAACTGGTTCCGTTCCGTTCCGTTCCGTTCCGCAAAGTACCATTAGCCGATTTTCCTTAGCATTGTGAATCTAAAAATAATAGTGATTTAACTTTTTAAACGCTTTAAATTCAATGTTAAATTTTACGAGGGTATCATGCAGAATATTATTTTTTTTTTCTAGAGAGTCAACATGTTTCTATTTTTGTTGAGAAAATGTTTAACATTAAGCAATTGCTTTTATGTCTTTTCAATGTTTTATTAACCGTATTAATCATGCTGAAATGTGATGCTCCTAATGCTTCTAAAAATAAAGGAATTTGTTAATCTGATAATTGTTATTTAAGATTTATTATTTGATATGGGTCTACAGTTTTTATTTTACCCATTTCTTGATAATTGTAGATATCCGTCATCCATATCAATTACAGAAACTTCTTATTTCAAATAAATTTCCAAGTACTGTTTATTATAGGAATTGCTTTGAAGTACATCAATAAAATTCAATTGTGGTCGCATTTATTTTTTGGAGACACACGTGTGTGAACAAAATTAATTGAGGAGTACAATGTAACACCCTGATCAATTATAGGATTACAACAAAGCTTTGATGGTCATATTTTTTAAAATACATTTCTGCTGTGGATTAAAAATATGTCATTGATTGATTGATTGTATACTGTTTAACGTCCTTTTCCAGAGTATTTCACTGATATGGAGACGTCACAATTGCCGGTGAATGGCTGCAAATTTAGGCCTATGCTCGGCACTTACGGCCTTTGAGCAGGGAGGGATCTTTATCGTGCCACACCTGCTGTGACACGGGGTCTCGGTTTATACGGTCTCATCCGAAGGACCGTCCCATTTAGTAGCCTTTTACGATAAGCAAAGGGGTACTGAGGATCTAGTATAACGTGGATCCCCACGGGGCAAAAATATGTCATTAAACCCCAAAAAAGAATTTATCTGACTATTGTCATGATTGTTGAAATATTTTAAAAAGCTTCATTTTTTTATACGGACGCTTGATGCCTTTCAACATACTCTGTTTATTTATGTATGATCTTAACAATCATGCAAAACCTGATGTGCTAGTTGAAAAGGATTACTGAAAATAATTGCCCCTAATTTTTTCGGATATTTCAATGATAAATAATTAAAAAGTCCAAGGAAGAAAATACAGTATTCATCTCAAGTATAAATAAATCTTCATGAAGGTATACATTGTTTTATTCTATTTTTATTTAGTCTTCAATAAGAATCGTTTTACATAATATATTTCTTCCTAGTTTCCTAAAGTAATACACTGTTTGCTTAACATTTCAATATCACTATTCCTGTCCACTGCTAAGAATGTTAATGAAGGTTTTTTGCATATATTTTGCCATATCCTGATGAGGGACCGTACGCTACACACACAATCTTTAAACGCAATGAATAAGTTTTATGTTGAATGGATTCGTTGAAAACACAGCAAACACATGCCCAACATGTATGTACAGCTGCAGACTGCCTTTCATTTCGAATTATTTACATTATATGTTTTGCCCATAAGATACAAGTATAGAGTAGTACACAAATATAGACCTTAAATAAGACAGTCTAGGAATGCATTCCTTTCGCTTTAGGTCTATGGTTTTAGTTACATTGCCTGAAATAAGACTCTCTGGAAGACGAAATTATAGTTTATATGGATATAAGTTAAATTGAACGTACCATACAATGTAAATTATACATTGTAAATCAATTGTATGCGATTGTTTTGACTGAATAACTCATTTCCAGTTTGATATTTAAAAACTTATTAAAATCCCATCTGAGATTTAGAATATGTACTTATTTAATTACTATCTTACATGTCAGGACATATTATAACCGTTGATAATTAAGTATGTTTAATTATAGTTTATATGGATAAAAGTTATATAGAACATACCATATTATGTAGGTACATTGTAAATCAATTGTATGCAAATCTATTTTACTGAGTAACTCACTTTGCAATTGAGATTTGAAATTATATATATTTTTTAATTAAAATCGCATTTGAGTTTTAGAATATGTACTTATTCAATCACTATATTATAAGTATACGTTATGATAAAACCGTTTTTAGTTAAGTATTTTGGCCATAGATGCAGCAATTGAAGGCTTACACGAGTGCTGAGTGCCGAAACGATTTTAAATGAACTACATTGTTCTTATTTTCTTAGTGTGGATTATCCCTTTACCTTACTAATTGACTTTGATTACTAGAACTGCACCTAACGCAGTATTACAATTACATAACAGAAACAGATTTTGGGATTTCCAGTTGCATATTTTTAGAAAAAATAATTGGAGTTAACAAATTACTTAGTAGCGCTGGATGGCGAAAGGAAGTAGATTTACGTTGACAGTAAGCGCTTAGCGCTTAAAAAGAAAAAAAGAAAAGAAAAGCGTTTTAAAAGAAATTTATTTTTTGTCATTATTATTGCATGCTAAAATTAGCAAAGTTCTACCACATAATGCGAACAATTGAAAATGCATGTATATTTTATTTGATTTAAATTGTAAACGGGTCAAGCCATGTTTTTATTTTCAGCACTTTCTCCTCTTTCATTAAAAACCAATCTATTTTCGCTTTCTTATTTCGATAAACTCTAAGAATTATTTCGTACTGTCATCTAAATCTAAATACACATGGCCCGAATCTGGTATATTTATACCAGGCTGCCTTGTGTCCAAAGGTTTTGTTTTAAAATTGACAGAGTAAGATTGAGTTATCTCACTGTAATCGATAGAAATTTCAGCTAAACCTCTAAACACATTTCTGTTGTTCAGTACGTCATAATCTGACATCATCGTGTCTGATACATTTACTGGATCATTTCGAAAAGTAACATTTCTGTTTCTTATATTAATAAATTTCCTTAACAATATGATCACGACAAACACAAGTCCAGAGAACAACAATGTAGAACATATAATTGAAACAATGATCACAGAACTTGGAAATCCCGAAGAATTTGCAGTGGAAATATTGGAATTGGTTTTCCAATTGATTTTTTCGTTATCAATAATAATTTCTGATTTAGTATAAGTGTCTATGTCCTGTATTTGATAGCTTCGATCTAAATTGATTCCTATTGAAGTTATTCTCGTCAAAAAAACAAGTGACGATCTGACCTTCGGACTCAAGGGTTCCGTCGAGGTGTGGGAACCACTTGTGTCTGCAATGAAAAAAATGATACAATAATTATAAGGATGTACTTATCTTTTTGTTTCTTTCGAGGAACAAATATTCGATTATAATTGGAACGTAGTTCAATTTTTATACACAAACCACGCATCTACTTAATTTTCAGGTTTAAAGAAATACATTGTATGAATACGTTTGTGCATACAAACCAAATCCCTTTCTTTTATATTTCAATACAAACTATTTTTAAAAGATTCCTCAATGTACATACTTGTTTATTATCTTTTGGGGTAAAAAAAATCGAAAAATAAATGAAGTTTTGATTCAAATTTGCAACCAAAAATTCACTCTGATGATGTTTCCATCATCATAGTTCCTGTATATTGTTTGTGTAATGTGTTCCGTAATGTAACCATGCATTGTTGAACAAAACTTTTTATGCCTACATACAGGGTCCATTTATTCTATAATGTAGTATTTACAATTCAATCAATAAAACGAATATAGGAAAGCAAAATATTTTATTACTTGTCATATACCATTATGATGGGGGATATTATGTTTGTTATGTCTGTCTAACGTAATTCGTTTCTTCAGACTGTCCTTCCGTCGCCTTGAATGAAGCTCAATTTAAAAATGAGTTTATGATGCTGGGCTTTCCATTGACCTTGGCCTCAATTTTCTAAAGTTTAGTTTCAAGTCAAATATTTCTTTTAAAGTTTATTCACAGATGAATAATTTGGTAGGAATTTATCAGCTTTATCTGATTTCTTTTATCATGATTCCAAAAATGACCTTTGACTTTATATATCATTCATTGTGATAAACTCACTACACGTACAATTAAGAAAATCATTTTTAATTTGTTTTAAATCTAACGCAATACATTTTATACGAATTTTATACACAAATTTCTTGCTACATTACAATAAAAATATTTGCAATACATTCATGTCTTATAGACAATTTATTCTCGTTTTTTTTTATCTTTAAATTTAACGTAACATAAACATTACTTACCAGCCATATCTGTGTTCAGTCGACATCCAAAGGCAAAATTACAAAACATTTTATTACATCTGCATATTTCCTGACATTTGTCACCGTACGTAGGATATCCACACATTTTTGAGCAATTAAAATCAAAATATCCTGGTTTGCAGCCTGCAAAAGGTTTTAATAGTATCATTTACGTCATCTGCACTGTCAAAATGTTTTTTTTAAATAGATTCTAGGCACAATTTGTTTTTTTTAGTATTCACATCTTTAAACATTACTTAAAGAATGAAAAGCCATTTTATGTGTTTTTTTTTTATTTTAAAGATAGATTTTATCTTTGAAATATAAAAACAAAATGCTTACCACATTGAATGTATGTACATGAACTGTTTAATGAATCATGATCTGCAAATATATCGAAAGTCATTCATACTTACTTGTACAGTTCCCTGTAATTTGATCCTTGTAATAGCCATCACAGCACACTGGGCCTGTGTTACTTGTGTAGGAAACAAAAGAGAGTATTAAACTCTTTTGATTATTAAGAACACACGAAGACACCCTTTTACCACCACCCCCGCTCACAAACTCTCCCCTACCACACAGAAAGAAAGAAAGCGTTTAGAATACCAGCATACAAATGAACAGAATCAAATATTTCTTATCTTATGCTTACCTATCACATATTTCTTGACCAAACCCTGTACCTGAAAAGATCATAAAACATAAATATTTTAAAACATGGGAATTGGAGACCATTTTGATAATTAATTTTTTTTCTCTCCTACAACACTTCAGGAATTTCCGCATTGAACAGGAAGTATTTGCTTAATTCATAAAAATATAACTCGAGTTCAACTCGATAAATTTGATAAAGATATAAATGGAAATGTATTTACAATTCAGAATATTTACATTTAAACCAAAACTATGAAATCATGTAAATTAGAAAATATTAGACATTTTCATGCCTAACAATCGTATGTCCCTAACTGATTACTATACGTTTTGAACAGTAGTGCTCATTAGAATTATTTAGTACAGGTATACTTTTAAACTTATTGATTTTATGAGTTTCAATCTGATCTTCCTTACTATCACTGAAAGCAATTATCATTTATTAATTCTTTAGGGATCTGGAGAGATAGTAATAATTTTAGCAATTTTAATTATTCAATATTTTGTATTCCTATGAGAACCGAGTACCGTACGGTAACAGTTAACAGCAGCATTTGAGTATTTATTGCATTGAGAAATTACTTTTAATAAAAGTTTGATTGGCCATCTGGAATATTTATACTAGATGAGGTTCAGATAAGCACCAAAGACTAAGATTGGTTATCTGAGACAAGTTAAAAATGGAAGAGTTGATTGTAAAAGTGGGGGAAGAAGAATTTGGCTTCAATGCAATATCTTTGGAAAAAATTCCAGATTCTTACCTAAAAAGATTAGTTTTGGAAGAGAACAAGTGTAAGACTATGTCCTTCCCGCGATGCCGGGAAAGCTTTCGTGCGATTCACGAGTTTTATTTCTCGGGTAAATTGCATATTCCGAAAAGTGTCTGTGTGGGAAAATTCAAAGAAGAGCTGGAATTTTGGGGAATTGATGAGTCGGCAATGGAAGAATGCTGCCTGAGAAAATTGTACGATTATGATCTTCAGCAGAAGTCGCTTTTGAAATTCAAGTGTGACTTTAGCAGACGTCAAAAGAAATGTGAAGATCGGGACAACAATAACATCTCCACAAAGTCACTCAGGCAAAAGGTCTGGGAAATATTGGATTACCAGAATGACAGTATCTATGCCAAGGTATTTCTCAGAGAGTATTTTATTGGAAAAAAATATTACATGGATCATTAATCATAATTAGCCTGTAAAATAACTGCATACAGGGACATTTTCGTCCTGGTCGGAAGTAAGCGAATTTAAAACATTGCGAAAATGAAGTTAATGGTATAATTAATATTATATAAAAATTAAAACGGAGAAAACTTGTTTCCAATATTGAAAGGGTGAAAATAACACGGTTCGAAAATAACCCTCAATACAGTATAAGTCAGATATATATATATTTTTATATCCTAGACGATACAAGTGACAAATGACTGCAATATACTACGAGTCCCGACAGTCATTGAAAGTAGTATTTTTAATTTAACTTTTGATATCCATATTAACTCACAATTCGGTAACTTTAGTCAGAAATGGTTAGCGCTCCGTGCCATCAACATTTAATTTCACGTAAACAACGACATCAATAAGTCTATCAGCAAGATTGACTGATTGTATGTTGGTTAACGTCCCTCTCGAGAATTGTTTACTCATATGGAGATGCCAAAACTTGCCGATGGACAGCTGCAAATTATGTCCTATACTCGGCACTTAAGACCATTAAGCAGGGAGGGATCTTTTTCGTGCCAGCACCTACGACACGGGGCATCGGTTTATACGGTCTAATCCGAAGGGCCGGTCTCCAAGTCCCACAGTGGGATTCGAACCCGCGACGTAAGGATCATCTCTATACCTCGCGACTCTAGAGCAGACTCTCTCACCACTGCGCCACGCGGGCGACTCTATGAATAAGATTATAGATCAATAAAGAATAAAAGGGGAAGTTGATATTTTATGGTTAAAATAAATAAACAATAGATCATAGCTTAAAATTATTTTGAATAAATGCAAAAGTCAATGCAACTACTACAGGAGTGTGTCAAATACGCAACCACTGCACTTAACAATAAAAAAAATAAAAATAAAGGATGTTTAAATATACATTTAACATGCACATTAAATTTTTTTATAAAAATGCAAAGAAAAAACAACTTTTTAATCTTTGTTTTTATTTTAGAAAAATAAATAAGGAACTAGTAGGAGGGGAGGGTATTTTCTTTAGCACGCAACAAACCTCTATTATTGTTTCTTTTTCTCGCTCTTTTGCTTCATTCTGCATTCTTTTGTTTTATTTGCTTTATTATATTTTTAACAATTGTTTCACGTTTCTTTTCATTTAGGTAAACAAAATTAAATTCCATATTTTTACATCTGGAAACACAGAATTAAGATGCTTTGTACATTTGTAACTTTGCTTTTTTTGCCCTCATTGTTCTTCATGATTTAAATCGAGAAATGGTTACTTGAACACAAACGGTTACTGTAAAATAAGTAATTTTCACGGGGAGTTAATTATCATTGTTTTCGAGGTATGGAAAGACCCACGAATTTATGACCACCATGGAATGTAAATTAAACTTGCATTATTACTTAACAATTGTCCCCTCACATATCATATCAATATTTTTTTTCTCAAGCCTCGAAAATTTGCACCCACGAAATTTTTTACTTTTTTTGAAAAAAAAAAACGAATATGTCCGATCAATTTTTTGGATAATAATAAGATACAAGAAATAAGAATGATTACATTCTACTGATACTTAATATCTTCTGATTTTTATTTGCAGGTGTACCTTTTTCTATCTACCCTCGTCGTCTTGGCTAGCTGTATTATGATAGCCGTTAGTACACTACCGGAAATCAGGTCCAAACTAATAATGGAAACTGAAAACAAAAATACGACCAACCTCGAGATCCAAAACCAAAACCAAAACTCGCTTTCTTCTAATGTCTATTGCAAGGAGACGATACTTGAATTGAATAAAACAAAAACAAATGTAGAAAATTGCAGAATGGAATTTTGCATTCTTTGCGATGAATTTGAAATTCTTGGTTTCCCAATATCTAACTCTTCCCAAAGAAATATCATTATGAATATTTGCAAAGGCTGCTTGTATGCGGACGCTACTTTTAAAACGGCTTGGATTAAAAAAGATACAACGTTATCAACAACGGCTAAAAATAGCATACAATTGTTTCTTTTTGAAATCATTATTATGACTCTCTTTACTTTTGAGTTTCTTCTTCGTTTAACCTGCTGCCCAAATTTAAAGCTGTACTTTTTCAGCATCCTAAATATCATGGACGCTGTGACCCTTACTGCAAATTACGTTCGGTATGGGATATTCTTTTTCGAAATAAATATAGCAGAATCAAAATTCGAGTTCCTACTATATTTTCAAACGTTTCGAATTCTTCGATTACTGAGATCACTGAATAGGTTAGTTGCATTTAGAGTACTTAGGTATTCCGTGCGAAACGGGCGAAAAGATTTGACCCTGATGTTGTCGTACATGTTCATAGGGATGTTGATATTCTCAAATTTCATTTACTTTTTTGAATCCGAAAAAAATATTCCTACCATGTTTGATGCTTGGTGGTGGAGCATTGTCACCATGACAACTGTGGGATACGGGGACATGTATCCAAAATCAATTACTGGGAAGATAATTGGCGGAATGTGCGCCATCTATGGTGTTCTTATGTTTGCAATGACCGTACCTATCTTTGTAAATACGTTTCACTCGCTGTATAAATATGCAGTCTTTGCGAACATGCAGTCTCAGAAAACCAAAATAAAAGAAGAGGAAACGGACTCTAAGATACTTGCAGAGAAGACGGCTTGAAAGGTTAATGATTGACACTTTTTGGCATCAGGCTGTAAGAGCTTGCATATACCAGTATGTCCAACGTTTAATATTTGTACTTAGTTCTCTCTTTTTGTAAATATTTGGTGAATAAAATGTCCAAACATCATTTTTTTTGTTTGTGTGTGTTTACGTAAACGAACGTTTTTTTTCTTTTACCAGTGTTACAACGCGAAATGTAATAACAACACGAAACGTAATAAACCTTGATTTTTACATTTTGTGTTATTACATTTTGCGCTGAAATCAACGCAAAATGTAATAACGCAAAATTTAAGAACAAACTTTTGAGGATTATTACATTTCGCATTATTACATTTTGCGTCGAGATCAACGCAAAATGATATAACGCAAAATATAATAACATAATTTTTGGATTATTACATTTTGCGTTGTTATATTTTGCGTCGAGATTAAGCAAAAGGCAGGAACGCAAAATGTAAAAAAAAAACAAAAACATTTTTTTCGTCAGCCAGATTGAGTACAATTTCAATAGTGTAGCGGCCGATGAAAAGAAAATAAAACAAAAAGGAAAATTATATATACGCAATTTCTTACAATTAATAAATTTTATAATATATTGATTTAATAAACAACATGTATTTTAAATCAGTTTAATAAATGTATTCATATTATAGGTGTTGCAAAGTAGAAACGTGCATCTGTGGGCAGGGTTGTTGGAGGGTATTGACCAGTGTGCCTTTTCTTTTTTTTTTTGTAGACAAATGTAATGAATCTAAAAAAAAAAACCAACAAAATATTCATTTGTACTGGCAGGTGTAAATGTATAGCCGGAAGGGGTTTATTGATACCATACTGTGCCATGCAAATCTCCAGCATTGCAGACAAGCGAAAACAAAATTCTATTTCTCTCTTTTTTTTTTACATCCTATAATAAAATGGATTGTTTCTGCATGTCCACAATAATGCAATACTAAACATACGAAGTAATCATCCAACCCTATCCCTGCCCTTCCTCGCTTGACACACACATACACTTCTAATTTGTTAACCAATGTATACATGCTGAATATGCATATCAAGAGCTTTTAATGAACCTATGGTCAATCTTTAGTAATTAAATAATTATGTGTTATTGGTTAGAAGTTTAATAAGACTATCAAAAATATGCCAATCAAAGTTAAATCAATTCTGTATAATTAAGCACAGTGCATTCAATATAACTAAAAGCAAAGTCAGAAAAACGATACATTTAGAAGTATTTATGTCTGTAAAAGCCCTAACGTTGGTCTCATTGTTTTAGTTCTAAATATTTTAACAGCATGTTTCCCATGTTGGTTACATGTATTGTTTGAATCAATTTTATGATCTTTTTTGCTAAACGCAGTCAAAAAAAAAAAATTATGTTTTGTTTTATTACATATTTTTAATTACATTTTGCGTTGTCTTCAGTGCAAAAATAAAATAACGCAAATTGTTACAACGAAAAAGGACTTTATTGCATTTTGCGTTGATTTTGAAGCAAAATGTAATAACGCAAAATGTAATAATCTAAAAATCGTGTTATTACATTTTGCTTTATTACATTTTGCGTTGATCTCGACACGAAATGAAATAACGCAATATGTAATAATCCAGGTTTATCATATACTTAGTAGTAAATACACCTATTCTGCACGGTGTGATACGGGTGACGTCACAATACCCCATATCACGGACCAGTCCGAAAATCCATATCACGTATCGGACCGGCGGGTTGAAAATCCATATCAAACCGGAAGTAACGTTTGTATCAATTTTAAAGGTTAATTTTCTTGATTTTATTTAAATATATATATAAAATAATTCTTCAGTGACATTTGTAGTCTTAATTTTTTGCCAGTTACCTAAAACTTTTCTATTACATTTGAAAGAAAAATGTCATAAACAAGCATGAAACATTCTTCAATGACCATATGTAAACTCGCATATTAAGTATTTTAAATATATGATAAATAGAATACTACATATTAAAATCCATATCATATGTTACATCAGCCCTCGGGCCCCTCATCAGCCCTCGGGCCTTCGGCCCTCGGGCTGATATGCGACCACGCGGGATGATATGACATATGATATGGATTTTAGTATGTAATATTCTCTATTTATTACATTTCACGTTGTTATTACATTTCGCGTTGTAACATACCAGGACATAAAAATGAACGAAATCGCAAAAAAAATTAAATTGCTCTGCAAGGAATGTGATACAGATTACACAATATGTGGATGTTAGCTCACCCGAGCTGAAAAACTCAAGTTTTTCTGATCACCGTTTGTCCGTCCATCTGTAAACATTTCAACTTCTTCTCAATATCAACAGGGCCAGTTTTAATGAAACTTGGTACAAAGTTTCCTTGGATGAAAAAAAAACCTTTGAATATATTAATTATTAAAATAGAAGACCAAGTCCTCTTTCAAGGTCTTATTAAGAAAAGACAAAAGTAGGGTGAGGTCATCAAAAAATCTTCTCAAGAACCATTGGTCCAGAATTCCTTTTTAAATCTTGACTCCGAGGATAGGGCAACCACTGGATCAGAATAGCTGAAACTTATGTGGAAGTATCCTTGGCGTTGTATAGATTCTAAACTGTTAAAATCATGAACCCCGGGGCTATAAGGGGAGGGGGGGCACAAAATATAACAAGTCGGGAAATCTGTTCAAGTACATAATGGCAAAAGTTACACAGGTGAGTGATGTGACCCATAAGTCTCTTGTTGATCAACTTGTTATTCCTCTGTTTTATTTCAAAAGTTTGCCAGTCTAGCATACGAGGGCCGTTCAAAAATTACGCGGACTGTGCTATTATTTACTCTTACAGACGTCATATAGTTATAAAATTTCACAGAAATATGTATCTTAAAGATTCCAATAAATTTGGGGCAAAATTTCTGTATTTTAAAAAAATTCTACTAAAATTATCGGTAAGTTAATATCGTTGATGGAAAGGTCCGGCGCACGACAAAAAAATTGAAGCATAAGCATGCGGATTTAAAAATTTAGTTCATTCATTTTCTAAAATTCGCGATATTTTTCAACAATTTTCTCAAATGTACCTTTAAATTGTTCTATTATTATAAATTTAGATTTCTGACGTAATATTTGAAATACTAACAGAAATATAGTGATTTTTCTCTGATGCGATTCCCGTGAAAACGACTTTGAAAATGAAGTCTTCTGAATTGACGGCGCACCACACTTTTGTTAAAGTATGTGTAATGCTCTAGATATCAGCAACATAGATCCAAAATATGCATAATAAAACATGTAGTAAACTAGGCTACTCGTGACATTCGCCCACAAATAGCAAATTGAAATTTTAGACAGTTAGACCTCAGTAAAAAGGCTATACGGGAGGACGGAAAGAAGATTATAGACGAAAAGTTAACTTTATCCGGACTGTAAAGAACGTGATTAAGAGTCACCAATATCACACTATATCTCATACATATGTAAGTAGTTTTTGGTTTTAAAACAAAAAAAAAAAAGAATATTCTTTACTTATTTAATAGATTTTAAATTTGACAAGAAATGGTGTTTTGATGTTGAGTAGATAAGGTAACTCAAACTATACAGGTACTCAAGGGAAAATGTTGAGAAAATGAAAGCTCAATCACATATTTTTTATAATGCTTGTGACGTCGAAGATTTTGCTGCGCCGTGACTTAATGGTATGTCCTGAAAAATCACTCAAAATTAATACCAATTTACAACATTTTGATATAAAATTTTGAAGACCATATAAGTAAAGATTCTTTTATATTATTTGTGAAATTTTGCCCGATTATGTTGTCAAATATTTCTTCTGTGCAACAAGTCCGCGTAATTTTTGAACGGCCCTCGTATAACTCTCATAAGAAGTTTAACTTTTTTCTACAAAAAAGTAATTAAATTTCAAGTTTAGTACATGTACATAATCTCAACACTTTGATATATCTATGTATCAAAACAAAGGAAAGTCGTACCTTTATTGTGATTCCATTAATCGTTTAAATTAACAAATCAGAATATTTTTTTTCAAAAATATAAGGAATAAAATAAAAAAATATAATAGAATATCACCAATCTGTACACAATGAAAACATAACATCTGATAAGTATTTCACCGTTACTGTTTTGTTTGTTTTGATAAATTTCGTTGTTAACTGACTTTGCTTTTTGATGCTGGTATCATTTTAATAAAATACAAACTTCAAGAAGGTTACTATTTTCTATCCCGATGAAATATAATACTTGGTCATAGTTTAAAGAATATTTATTTCATCTTCTATTCTATTCCACCTTATAACTTTTTAAAAATGAAATTATTTATGAGCGTATTGTTGTTTCTATTAGCCTAGAGAAGAAAGACCAAGCCACTTATTAAAGCCTGTGTTTTTTGTTGTTTCCTAATTGATTTACGTCCCTATTGAGAATATTTCACTCATACCGAGATTTAGGGATCAGCTTTTTATTCTGTGACTCTTGGGCAAAATTTGCACGGGTCAGTCAATGTATTGCTTTAAGAGATATACCCGAAGGGTGAATTATTTCTTTAAAAAAAACAGACTTCTTTTACAATTGTCATCTGCAAGTATTTCATTAACATATCAGTGATCAATGATATAGAAGTCTATCATATGAACAAAATTATAGATAAGTAACTGTTACCAAATTAAACACGTCTAAAATTATAAAACTACAAATTTTAAAATTAATCTTGTTTTGAAAAAGAGTTCGTTTTAAGTCTATGTGAATTTTTGCTAAAAATTTAAAATAATCATAAAAAAGATTTCCTTATAAAAGGATTATTTATGAGGAATCGCGGAAACGATATTATTGACATTATAATTATAATGATATATTACTTACGCGTGGAAATGAATTCAAGTATTTCAAAACTGTAAATATTGGAACAATTTCCTAATTTAAAGGGATGTGTTTGAATTTTTTTTATTTTCTGCATAAATAGAAAAAAAGAAGAGAAATAACTTAAGTCAAAGGATAAATGTGACGCTAAATTAAAAGCATCATTGTAATCATAAGTGGATATATATTAAATCAGGAAAATATACTCAATTTTCTAATTGAATTCAAGTGAGTCAGGAATAGAAAGGTCAAACATGCTACAATAGACATTTTCCTGATAAAACCATTCCCTTTAAATGTAAAAAATAATAATAAATGATAAAAAAAAATTACGAGTAACTTTATGAAGTTGATGTTTTTGATTTTTAACTTTGATGGATTTAAAAAAAAATGAACACTGTAATCTTCTTGATACCACAATATAATTCAATTAAAGTGCCTTTCCTTACGGTTTGATACTATTTCAATTTCAGTTGAAGAGACACCTTTTACATTAGCTATGTCATCGTATGAGTAATTCGTACTCTTTCCACTTTCGTTAAAATTTGATGATTCCGAACATGAAATTGAGTCCTTGAGGGAGGAACAAGGCCCAGTCATATTCAATCTGTTATAATCGGTCGGTATATCCGTATTTGTGTGAAGATCTTCCAGCTCTTCATAATGGGACTCTGCCGTTTCCTCTGATTGTTTCCGTTGATTGGATTTGCTCTCCTTTGAAGAACAACATCTCATCGTTCTTTTGCAGACGTACGTCAGTATGAGAATAAGGAAAATGAAGTTTGCCCCCAATATGCCCCATAGAATGGGATTTTTCAAAATTTCTTTAGTTCCTGACGCAACAATATTTTCGTTTTGCTGGTCTGAATCTTGAGTAGAAGATTCATTCTTTACTGTATGGTCTGAGCTTTTAGTGGAATATTCTCTCTTTGTTGTTGGGGGATGATTCAGATCTTCTTTCCTTGCAACGATTGACATCTGTTTCATGAAGGTGATTTCTATAGAATAAAAGGGTTGAATTTCAAAATTAATTATTATCTGAAAATTCAAGTGAATTTCTATAAGCACATATACACATACTGGATGCTAAGAAATTGATAGTTTTAGCTTTGAAAAATTGATTTCTAATTTGTATAGTATTTGTTTTAATATAATATTTTTTTTGAAAAACAGCAATTATACTTTATTTATAATTATAAATTTGTTAATTTAATTCCTTTACTTCCTCTGGATCACAGGAATATAAATTATAATACCTGAGATGAGATTAGTAAGATATTCAAATATATATTACGATCGATAGTTGTTTGCACACATCCTGTTGCTTTGTCACAGAGCTCTCTCGGACAGGCACATTTGCCATCTAGACATTTTTTACCATAGTATGGGTAATCACACACTCTTGTGCAATTTGCACCATGAAATCCGGGTTGACACGCTCATAAAATATTGAATTGAAATGAGTCTTTTATATATTTAAGATTCTAAAATTACTTTTGTTGTTAAATGATTATAAACTTTCTAATTTTGCTCAATATTCTTCAGAAAATATGTACAGGTATGATTAATATAATAAATATGTTACTCACGAACACATGTGTTATTTGCAAGCAGCATTTCATCTGCACAGCATGGTCGGAAAAGCCTATTGAATTCGAAGTAATATAAATTTTAGAGTTTGTAAAAGTGTGAAAAGAATGATGTTTAATCCTATGTTTACCCCATAATTATATGGATGTCACTCATTGGATGTTTTCTGATATCCCGAAGTTGTAACATTTTAAAGAGTTGTAATTATGAGATTGAAGAAAAGAAAAAAAAAGATTTTGTATATTTAATCGTGTAGAACATTGACAGTGATAGATAAAACATTGGATAAAAGTAGAATCTGCAATAGTTTGTTGTCATTTTTGTCCGAATTTTTGCAAATATTTTGTCAAGGCTCGTGGATGAAAAATAACCCATTAAATTCAACCACGAATTATTAGAGTTACTATATTTATCATTATCAGATTAATCTTGGTTTGAACATGCGCTAATAAAAAAAGAGTAAAATATACTTGTGACATTCATAAACAATAACCAAATTATAAGGCAGAATTTTTTTTCGCCAAGAGGGTATATACCTTCCACTAATTTGTTTGCTTGCCAAACCTTTGAATAAAATAACGGATAAAAACATATTCAAATTTTGTTTTATATTAATGAATAAGTTAAAATTATCTATTTTTCACCATTAAAATTCACTTACCCATCACAAAAAGCGCTGACATTCCCATTTTGTGAACGTGAAATAATTACAAGAACTATATAGTATATTTTTTTCATTCTTTCATAGTTTTTTTATCAATAGTTTGCACTAAAAATTTAGTGTTGTTATTGTTAATAAAGAAAACCTCTTTCCTAAATAAATAACTAAAATCCTTAACTTCCTTAAGTATTATCCTGAAAATAGGACCATACATTAATTAAGCACAAAAATATACTTAAGTTTCCTTCCGTGTTTTAAGTTGCAATGATAAATATAGGATAATTATAATAGTTTATCCCTGACCTCACAAGTGTTTTAATTATATGCTGAAGCAATCGCAACAAAATGTCGGGAAATTTGTTTAAAGTATTTATCAGATTGAACACAAATATAGAAAAACTCTTTCTTTAAAATTTATTTTTAATTGTTGCATACATTAGGTCAAAAGAATTCTGCACCCTTTTAGAATAGTTTGATACATATAATAACGTTGGATTTACATTAAATAAAAGCAAGTATGGATAAAAATACTCGAAACGGAAATAAATAAAGCTGGAAATTTTAAAGAATAAACTTAAAAGTCATATAAGGGAGCTAGCGAAAAGAAAAGTAATTGTAAACAATTCTTTAAATAAAAAATACTGAACAAAACAAAAAAGAAACAAGAGGCCCAGGGGCCACAGCGTTTGAACTTACCCCCCCCCCCGGGCATTTATCATTTGAACAAACTAGAATCTACACTACATGAGGATGATTCCATATAAATATAACTAATCATAGCTTTGAAGTTCTTGAAAAGTAGATTTTAAAAGGTTTCCCTATATATCCCTAGGTAAAACTTGGGTGGGCCATTTTGGACCTACCTGGGCCCGGGGGTCATGATTTGAACAAACTTGAATCTAGACTACCTGAGGATGATTCCACATGAGTTTCATCTTTCCTGGCCAAGTGGTTCTGGAGAAGAAGATTTTAAAAGGTTTCCTTATATATCCCTAGGTAAAACTTGGGTGGGCCATTTTGGACCCACCTGGCCCCGGGGGTCATAATTTGAACAAACTTGAATCTACGGTACCTGAGGATGATTCCACATGAGTTCCATCGTTCCTGGCCCAGTGGTTCTGGAGAAGAAGATTTTTAAAGATTTTTCCTATATATTCCTATGTAAAACTTGGGTCGGCCATTTTGGCCCCGACCAAGCCCGGGGTCATGGTT